CCTCCATCCACATGACAGAGAGGGGAACGCAAAAATGACTCAGTCTGCAACTGAAAATATGGATGGAGGACCTCAGTTTAGCTTGTTTTTCGCACTAGCGCCGAGCTAATACATATAAGGTAGCGTCGGTGCTAGAACAAAGGCTAAAAGGCTAAGCTGAGGTTCTTCTTCCRTGAAGCAGCTCTGTTGTCCTCCATCTATATTTTCAGTTACATGTTGAGTCATTTCTACCTTCTCCTCTCTGTCAACGCTCTCTGGTTTCATTTGAAAGAGTCAATCGTCAGATATTGTCCAAGATTAACCTTCAGGCTGGATATACTGTAGCTCGCTCACACCGAGAACCTATCCACGTCATCATTTACCCARAATACTTTGTGTAAATAAAATGGCTCTGTCCGTGTTAAAATATATTTTTAAAATTTACAAAACTAAACAGCCTACAGTATTTTTACAGTCGTTATTTTACAGTTAAAATATGCATTTATCAAATAAAGTCTAATGTTACAACTAATCGGGGATCCCTTTAAGATGTTTAGTTAATGGAACAGTTACAGTAAGGTGTGCAAGGATTTATTGTGTATTTGCGTGTGTGTGATTACTGTTCAGGTCCAGCAGCAGCTCACACCAGTGCCGGTGCAACATGTGTACACCAATCAAGTGCAGTATGTGGAAGGAGGGGACACCAGCTACACCACAAGCACCATGTTAGAATAAAACTGTCTCCAATCATATTTTTGAGCAATGTCCATAAAAATAACAGTTTTCCTTTTGAGCGTGTTCATTTGTTTCTAATGGATCTTTATATTTCTCTCGTCCAGTCGCTCCAGCACCTTCCCTTACAGTGAAACCCCTCTGTACACCCAGACTACAGCCGCCCAGTATTACGAAGCTCAGCCGACTTCGGTCTCGCAGGCGTCGTCCCCCGGCACGCCTCTGACYGTCTCTGTGGCTACTGCGACCCCTGCAGGCGTGTCCATGTTTGTGGCCCAGCCCACTAGCGCGACAGGGGGAGGGGCCACCGCGGTGACCACGGCGGGCACCGCCAACGGCTCAGATGAAGGGGCGGGCACCAACGGTGGCGCAGCGGGCAGCTACGTGATCCAGGGGGGTTACATGCTGGGCGGCGGCAGCAGCAGCAGCAGCAGCAGCAGTAACGGCGGGGCCGCCGGGAACAGTCAGAGCTACTCACACACCGCCCGTGCCTCCCCAGCCACTGTGAGTATTACAGAGGGCGAGGAGAGTAGCGTGCCGTCGGCAGACAAGAAGGTATGCAGAGGTGCCAGGCGCAGGAGTTTTCTTATCGTTCTGTTCTCATCCACACCAAACCCTCGACAGCGCACGCTGATGATGTCATAGTGGAGTTTTGTCAAGTGGAAAGCACGATTTCAAGAAAAACGAGCAGAAAAGGCTATAAACTAATACGCCCTGACCACAGTAAAACCTCCAGGAAAACAGTAGTTTGTGATTTCCTCCTAAAAGAAAACAAAACCATGACCTCATCATTTTCATACCATTACAGTGCATGAGATGAGGGGCATTGAAAAACTGCTTGAAATGCCTCGACTGTTCATTCCAAATTCATCATATTAAGTCCCATATTATGATAAAAATTACTAAATTGTGTTCAGCAGACATCCCATCAGTTTTCCAGGTCATTGATTCATTGCATACCAAAGTTGTATGCCACGGCACGCACACAGATGTGTTTTCATTCTGGAATGTTTACCCAGCTGTAAATATGAGTGCACTTGTGTTCTTATGATTTGTTTTAAAGAAAACRTGCGCATGTACTTTATGTTAACCTTAACATGTGTAACGTGTTTGTTAACAAGCGTTCTTATTTTGAGCAGAATCTTATTACARTAATGTTTTCTAACCTCGCCAGCTGTTTTCTTCTCTTTTTTGTTTTCCTCCTAACCYGCCTGTGTGTCAGGTACAGTGGTTGCTGGACAACTATGAGACAGCTGAAGGAGTCAGTCTGCCACGCTCCACCCTTTACTGCCACTACCTGCTGCACTGCCAGGAGCAGAAACTTGAGCCTGTTAACGCTGCATCCTTTGGGAAACTCATAAGATCAGTGTTCATGGGGCTTCGCACGCGACGCCTGGGCACCCGGTAAGATCACCAGACACCCAAACTCAGATAGAAAGAACCTTTGGACTGTTTGTACACAYGATGAAGCACCTGTTGTACACCTGTTGGCATCTCATTCATCACAGCAAWGTGCAAATTATATCCCTTACAGACATTGTGTTGTTTAAATGAGTTTTTGTTTCTCCTTTTTCCAAAMTATATTTTCCTAAATGGTATATTTCACCTGCTCCTTTTAGGGGTAATTCTAAATACCACTATTATGGGCTGAGAATCAAGGCAGGCTCTTCTCTGCTCCGTTTGATGGAGGACCAGCAACATCTGGCCATGAGGCAGCAGCCATTCTCACAGAAACAAAGGTATAAACAAAAACACACACTCAAGCACAGAAAGTTATCGAYTTGTATCGTGTGTTCTGTTGCGCAATGATCAGACTTTGTTGGTGTTTTTTATTTRTCATATTTTTCTACAGCTAAATATTTGATGCGTTTCTTTCCATTGTCCCTGTTAGATTGAAGCCTGTGCATAAAGTTGAGGGAATGACMAACGGCACAGCGGCAGGATCAGGACAACAGCAACAACAGCAGCAGGGTTCAGGACATGTAGACATCAGCACCCAGGTTCAGCAGTACCAACAATTCCTTGGTGAGAAAACTTAAATAAATKACTACATGTCAATTATAAATTTTAGCATCCTCTTTGATTATAATCAAGTTAAACATATAGGGTTTGACTACCTGATCAGTCTAATGTGTATCTGTCTCAATAACAGTTGGCACCTGTAGCACAGTAATGAAATAAAACAGGCTCTGCTCTGATCGTTCACAGTAATATTTACAAGTCAACTTGTTTTAAATAAAATCACACAGACCCAGGAGTTGGAAAACTTGAGATGATTTACAAGTTGATGACAAATTTAATAAACAAATCAATTATTGTACCCCCTGGTGATGTTCTAAAGGTTAAGTCAGATAAGATATTCTCAAGCTGAAGCAGCTTTGTAGTAAATCCCCTGGATCCTTCTATTTTCATCTAAACCAATCTGTATAACCCAWTTTTTTATATACAGACTTCAAGTTTAGATTAAATGTAATATGATTCTAAGTTTCTTCTTGTCTTTGTCCAGATGCTTCCAGAGCTCTCCCAGAGTTTCCGGATATCGATCTCCAGGGAAAGACTCTGCCGGAGGGGATTGAACTCGAGCACATAAAGAGCTTTCAGCTGCTTTACAGAGAACACTGTGAGGTAAAGAAAAAAAAAAAGACTGTTTCGTTCACATAAGAAGGACTTTACTGTGTTGGTGAAAGTTATCCTTCATCTAATATTATCTAAAGAATTTAGTCTACTCAAAGCTAATGCAAACACATCTGTTAGTGGAATAAAAAAATGTTAATACGTTTTTTTCTCCACAACTTTTTATGATTTTTGTTAGGATTACTCTTTTCGATCTGTGTGATTGTAGTTTGTCTGCAATTAAAATCTGTTACTCATACAAAGTTTTGTCCAATCAGCTTTTATGAAGCTCATTCTGGTTTCACTGTCTTGTTCAAATATGATAAAATCCAGCGCTAAAAATAAATCAAGATGCCAAAAKCTGAGAGGCCCAGATGACGGCTTCACTAAGGGTTGTTTGTTCAGTTGTTCATTCATTATTAACTGATGTATGATTCATTATTGCTGTTTTTTCCCCCTCAGGCCATAGTGGATGTGATGGTCAATCTGCAGTTTACGCTGGTGGAGACTCTGTGGAAAACCTTCTGGAGGTTCAGCCAAAGTCAGGCTGGAGATGGCACCCTGGCTGTGTGAGTTGTTTGTTCCTGAAGGCAAACATTTATTTAATAATCTGAATTTTGCCGTAACTAGAAGCAGCAAAAATGTCTTACCGCTGTGACAGGATCACCTTATTTAAGCCCCCGTCACAGAGTAACATTTCAGACAATTTMTACTGCCTTATGAAAGTTTTGTTATGACTCATAWCTAYATATTTGATCTAAYTGTCAGCATTACAATATGTATATGTCCAAAAAATAAGATTATTTTWAAATTCCATCTTCAGTTTAGAYGTCTTTTCACAAGTTGGCATAAGTGGTCTGAAAGGTTGCGATGTGACAGGGCCTTAACTGTGTGTTCTAACAGTCACGATGAGTCAGAGAAGCGTCTCCCAAAATCCTGCTTGGTGTTGCTGTGCAAGTATGAGCCGGTGCTGCGCTGGAGCCGTGACTGTGACAACAGCCTGTACCAGAGCCTGGTGGAGATCCTCATCCCTGATGTCCTCAGACCTATCCCCAGTAAGTCATATCCTGTTGTCAAACTCTGTAGTTTTCTGACAAATAACACTGCTGAAGACAGTTTGTCCATACTTACAATCTGCATCTTTTTTTAGCCTTAACTGGAACTTGTTAGAATGGACTCTGATGAAACTAATCTTAATCTTAATCTAATTTTACAAGCTAAAAAGTATTTTTAATCTTGTATAGGTCCTCCGTCCAGAGGACCTATACAATTTTTTTCCTTTTGATTTTTTACCTGGATTACTGAGATGCATCAGGATATTTTTAATCTTGTTTTGAGACTGATAGACTAAACCAGAGCAGAAAGTGTCAGATTATTAATCCTGTTAGCCTGGAAATTTTCCTTATTTCAAAAAAGCTTATCAAGTGTAATTATCTTGGTAAGACTTGCATTTTTGTCAGATCACCCTTGAAACACAAGAGAAATAATTTGCACTTATATTATTATTGTTTTAATTGATTGTATCATATGAACCAAAGTTCTGCCTTTGACAAAAACTTATTTGCTGTGGAAACTAACTTATACAGATATTTATTAAGTTCATTGTCATATCACATAAATATCATACACATAATTTAGGCACATTTGAGGTTTTTTTTATTTATACAACCATAAAACCTGTTTCCCCACTAAAATCTTGGCTGTATTATTTGTTTTACTTAAAGCTTATATTAAAATAAGTTCTGTTTAATTTGAACCTCTCTTTCTGCATCTAGGTGCCTTAACTCAAGCCATTCGAAACTTTGCCAAAAGCCTAGAGAGCTGGCTGACTAACGCCATGATGAACATCCCTGAGGAAATGGTTCGCATCAAGGTACTGCTCTCCTGTAGTAACTTGTAGGRCTGTTTTAATAAAATTTATTTTATTTAGATCAAGTACAAGTACTTCACTTTGGYTACTTGCTTCCTCTGAGTCATGATATGGAGACGTTATTGAATTATTAAGAACACAACAAACCACCTGTTGTAGTAACATTAGCTGTGTTTCCCTGTGTTTAGGTGACATCAGCCAATGCATTTGCCCAAACGCTGCGTCGGTACACCAGTCTGAACCATCTGGCCCAGGCAGCYCGTGCCGTCCTCCAGAACACGGCTCAGATCAACCAGATGCTGTCTGACCTCAACCGTGTCGACTTCGCTAACGTCCAGGTTAATCATTGAATGCTGTGCTTTGTATGTGTGTCATATCCTACGATTTGTAGCATCAGTAGTTGAATCTTGCAGAGTTTTTTTTTTTTTTTTTTTTGCAAATGCAACAGTTTCTGATGCAGCTTGTGGTTTCAGTGAGGTTAGATACACAGCCACTTTCAATCATTCTGCTGTACATGTAAACTTTCAAACCAGGAAACCTTTGGTCTTTTTCTCAGAAACTTTCCTTCAAGGCATTTACACAGAATCTAGTATCTGATTTAAATCCTAATTAAAAGTTTRTCTCTGCCTCTGGCTGTAATCTTGTAATCTGAGGCTTCTTTGAAAGGATTYTCTGTGCAAACAGGTAAAGCCAATGCCAGGTGTGACTGCCTGATACTGACTTGTTTTGGTCTCGATCACCCTCTGCAGGAGCAGGCTTCATGGGTGTGCAGGTGTGAAGACCGTGTCGTTCAGCGGCTCGAGCAGGACTTCAAGCTGACCCTGCAGCAGCAGAACTCGTTGGAGCAGTGGGCCGTGTGGCTCGATGGTGTGGTCTCCCAGGTCCTGAAGCCCTACCAGCAAAGCCCTGCTTTCCCTAAAGCTGCCAAACTCTTCCTWCTAAAGTGGTCCTTCTACAGGTACAACAGGGGGAAGACGAGAGAGAGCAAAACTGAACTGTGTTGATGTGGGATTGAGCCAAAAGCTTAAAAAACTTAGTAAAACAAGCATACTACCTGCTTTTTCAGTCACCAAATTACTTCCAGTGTAGTTATGTCACATGTTCAACATATGCCTTGTTTAAACAATATTAGTGGTGATTTGATATCGGTGTTAAAAAAACATTCTAGAGCCACAACTTCTCTTCAGTGTTTCAGATGTAGGGTGTTAAATCAGCCGACAGTGAAATGTCAAAGGAAGTTAGTCATTGTGGTTAAAGGATGATGATCTCTGGGATTAACTGCTAGTTGACTGATTCTGAGTGAGTTTCTGTTCCTTTACACTAAAAACACACTTCGGTTTTCAAAATCTCTTTCACCACTGAAAACGACAAAACTTACAGGAACAGAGTCACTACATCTCTAGCATAGCATCCCTAACAGTATTATTTTGACCTCCACACGCGAAGCGTGAGCGGGAATCATATGTTTTCGTACTGGTTTTTTTTCCAGTGATTTTTGGTCAACCGTAGCACAGAAACGGCTGYACCGATCAACATGAAATTTGGCAGGACTGTAGATGAGTCTGACCTACACTGTGCCAGTCAACAGATTTACGATAGACCCCATATTTGAGGAGGGGGCTCCTTTCAAAGATGGGGTGTCTGGACATGCAAAAATGCTTATAACCCAGAAACTGTTTGTCGCGCAACATAGGAGCTTCAGATTTCTTTTGTTGTTTAGTTCTCATGAAGCTCTATCCATCAGGCCCACCAACCAGTGCCCCCCCCAAACCCGGACCCCCAATTTATCTGAAAAAGTGGTATCTGGACATACAAAATTGGTAATAGCTCAAAAACTGTAGCATGACATTCATTAGGAAGAAAGACTTCTGAGTTCTGGTGCATTTATGCGTGCGGGGTCATTATGTTACCGCTATGCGATATCTAGTTATTACATTATTATTACAGATGTAAATAAATACAAACCACTTTGTTTTTCTTATCTGTCAGAATGTGAATGTGGTTCATCCAGACCTCTGTGACACAGCTGTAAGACAGTTACTTTAAAAATCAAMAGTTGTACTCAAGTTGAGGCTTGTTGAATTTGTCGAATTCATTCCTCCTTTTCTCCTCCCACTTCCTGCCCGTGACCCAGAAATCAGTCTTCAAAATATTTTGATGAATGTCTCTCTTGGTAGCGTGCACTTGAAGAGGAAGGAAGCTGCAGGAGGACAAGGCAGATGTGTTATTCGTGGTTGTCCAATCAGCATCTTTTACTCTTGTAAACTGATTATGTAATTATGAACACTCTTCTGCTCATTGAATCCTGTCCCTCAGTTTGTTAAACGCCCGTCACCTCWTTTCGTTTTACCTCCAGTCAGTTGTTGCGTTCTCTGCTCAGAATGCTGATGGGTGGGTCTGAGACTTTGTGAYGGAAGCTGAGAATAGAAAATGAGGATGTAGCTAAGAGGAAATCGGATGATGAATGTGTCATAGCTACACATTGAAACACACTACTTCCTGTTTTTGTTTAGAGAAATGATATCTATGTTTTTATTTCTATCTGTGCTCTTCAGTTCCATGGTGATCCGAGACCTCACCCTGCGGAGCGCGGCCAGTTTCGGTTCCTTTCACTTGATCCGTCTTCTGTACGATGAGTACATGTATTACCTTATAGAGCACAGAGTGGCCCAGGCTAAAGGAGAAACTCCCATTGCTGTTATGGGAGAGGTATTTGTAACTGCACACACTGACACAAATACAATCATCATAATAAAGAAGTCATATTTAATCTTACGTTTCCTCTCCCCTTTAGTTTGCCAGTTTAGGTCGAGGTCTGAACACGCTGGATCCTGACAAAGGTTTGTGCTTTCTCTGCCTGGTCACCAACGCTAACCACCCTCATGTTCCAAGCGTTAGTCCTGACCACCTCCATTTGTTTTTTCAACCACAGAAGAGGAAGAGGAAGAAGAGGAGGAGAGTGAGGAAGAAGGCCAGGAGCTGTCTCTTCCCTCTGACGAGGCTGGGCTCGGAGAGGAGTCCCTGGAGCCGCCTGCTAAGTTAGCCAGAACAGATCAGCGAGTCCTCTTCACCACCGGCTCAGCTGACAACTARCCAGTGACACTCGTGTGCTGCTAATCTTCATCTCACACACACACACAGAGATGTACAAAGAACACTTATTTATACRTTTGATATCTGTAAATWTATCTTGTCGATGTTTGTGAACTCTCGCTGTTGTTTAAGCACATGCAKTCCAAACACACTCGGTCATTACCTGCTGCTGCCTGGATGGCACAACCACCTGTTGACACCGTTCATTTGTTCCACCATCACTGTTRCTGCAWTGATGTTGCTTCACAAACCAGAGTCTCTAAAACCACAGAGAACCACATAACACTTTAACTCATGTGATTCTGTAAAAAAAAGAAGAACTAATATCAGGTGTGTTTTAATTTCTGTCATTACATTGCAGCGTGTTGCCTCACTGAGAAGACCCTCCTCCCACTGCCATATGTAGGTGGTCTTTAAATGCTGCAATGTGTGTAYAGAGGTAACTTCTACAGGAGGGTGGAAACGGGAGCTTAAATTTAGCTGTTGCTCATTTGTGACATGAAACTAAAGAGAGGAGCTCTGTGAAAGACACAGAGAGGAGGTTTAGTGTGTTTGTTGCTTTCTGTCTGCACCACTCTGCTGTTATTCCTGGGAGCTGATTAGAYGTTCATTTCCATGACTGTGAGTCATGCAAAGTGTTTCTGTAGATATTTTCTTATAAATGTTTGATTTGGGAGGTGTGTGTAGATGCCCTCTTTGATTTGATTTGCCTGTAAAGGAGAAGAACACGTGTTTTTGGAGTGCCTGCTGCAGCTGCTACAGACTTGTAAAAAAAAATGTGGTTGTGGAAAAGGGACTTTCATTAGTTGCTGCAAAAATCCTCACTCTTTTTCCTGAACTGTTTTCACGAGAGAGGTACTGTATGTGTCATGATTTATGTTTAAAGTGCTTTAATCCTGTCTTTTTCATTATTTCTCTGTGGCCTCATTTTCCTTYGAGACATTGTTCTTTGCCTTCTTTCCAAATGTTTTTCCTCGTGCCAAACCGGTTTACTTTGGATTCCCAGATTCTTGTGATTTTTGACTTTCTGTTTGTTTTCCGGAGGCCTGTGCCCGAGTAAGAACGGTGATATATTTTCTTGTAAATTTCTCCACCTCTTTGACTTTTYGTTGTCACTAAGTGAACCTCTTGTGCAGTGTATGGTGCTGTGTGGTCACACATTGTAAGCAACATTTGTCTACATTATTGATTTGTGATTGTACGTTCAGTTCTCCATCCTAGTTCAGACCGATGACTTCACCACAAACAGGCCTCGGCCAAGCCTCTTTGCACATGTCGACTATTRTCTTTAAAACTCAGAAGGAGTTCTCTGAAATGGTTTTCATTTTCTTTAAAGTCAGTTGGGGGCATCAGATGACATGTAAATATCTCGTAACCAACTCTGCGCAGTTCAGAGAATTTGGTGAGAGATGAGAAACCTGACGGCTTTTTCTGCACCGTCCTTCTCCACCACTCGTCTCACTGCATCACAGCCCTCCTCCTCCTCCTAATGGCTTTGTTTTGCTTCACACATCTTTATTCTTAAACTCGTCATCAAAACTGGTTTGTACAAACATCTGATTTTGAACATGTTTTCTCTTTAAACAGCTGCAGTGTTTCCAGCAGGCATCAGCAGCTTCAAACCAGCACATTATCTTCTAAAGTGGAGTTAAAGCTCATCCAGTTGATTCCACATCACTCCAGTCTTTCTCTGATCTCCATCACACAACATGCTTTAAACAGTAAACATGTTTAGTCATTTTTAT